AACCAAGGCTTGAGAAACATCCTTCGAAGTTTCAACGAGCCAACCAGGGAACGATACTCTGCGTCAACACGCGAAGAACGCACGAACGATGGAATATACTTAAGTATAATGTATCTGCTCTGTCCTTGCACTTGTGCAATTGAACGAAAGGAGAAAGAGACAGGAAAGGGTTAATACCGATCCGGCAAGCTGCTCCAATTTCCATTCGCGCGATAAACCGCCGCGGACACGGCCGATGTGGCTTGCACCTGGCTTCCCGGTGTCTATTTACGTCGGCGTCGGAATAACGCCGGTAATTTACATTTTCAGCTGACCGACTTCCATTCGACTAAATTCGCCGTCAAGTTCTCGGTGAGACAAACAGACGGCCACATCGGACCACTTGTCGCCAATGGAAGCGCAGAACTTTGAGGATTCGAGAGGGCTCGAGAGGGACCGGCCATTCGATGAAACTCTCGATCAACACAGGGCTGTGTTATTCTGTACGTGGGACCTGAGGATATCCCTCTCTGTCCTTTTCTAAACAAACGATTAACTTTTTCCCCGCCAAGCCTTCAACGAGGCAGGAACGTCGTAAATGTTTCAGAGGAACTGCTCGAGATCTGAAGATTGTATACAATCAGCGAGACCCTTCGTTAACACTACTCCAAGCTTATAAGCATTTTTATATCGTTCTTCGTTATCGTTATCACAAAGGAGGACCAACGAATCGACTCTATTAATTTCGTTGTCGTTTTAAAAGAGCAATTTCTACACGTTATTCGACGTCCCTTCGCAAAAGTCAGCTGCTTCAAATCCTCTGCATCCTCTGCAGCCGGAGATAAAACGCACGAGCAAAAATGTCAGCCACGGTTTATTTTTGCTCGTGGAAACCATGCCGCAGCTCTCAGAAGTACAGAGCGAACGCGAAACGGAAGATAGATCGTGCACGCTCTCCCCTGGCTTGGTCGTCGTCGAAAGCGAGCGCACCACACGCTCGCTAAAATCGAGCCCCGGTGGTGGTTTTTCCGACTTCAGGTTGGACGTAGTGTCGACGAACTATTGATTCGCCGGTGGAGCCCATCCACCAGCGCACAGGTCCCAGTGCCGTACGATTTTCCCAAGCGTGTGCGAATTACCGTCACGTACCACCCACTGTATTATACCTTTTCCGGTTTATCGATTTTTCCCCGAGCTTTATAGCTTCAGCCGATCATTCCAATCAGACGCTGGCTGTACAGTACAGTGATTCGACAGTCGTCGAATTGCAGAATCGCACACAGGAACTTCTTGCTTTAACTGCGATACACACATTGTGCGAATTGTTCTCAATTGTCCAATTGTTACATTGAAAAAAAAAAAAAA